CCAACCTGCCTATCTTGGGCTCACCAGCATCTGCAGCTTCATGAATTGGGAGAGGCCTCTACGCTGATACACTGACTTGGGACGTTCTAGCCTCTACAATCACTTGAGCTGTTTCTTTGATATAAATCTCTCTCTATATATATTTATACACTTTACTGGCTTTGCTTCTCTAGAGAAACCAGCCTAAGACATTTGGTACCAAGAGTGGGGTGTTGCTCTAACAGATATCTGAAATGTGGAAGTGGTTTTGAATGGATAGAGGTGTGGCAGCAGCAGAGGACCAGCAGCAGCAGAACCAGGAGACCAGCGTGAGATGGTGCTACAGCCGACCCGCTGAGCAAGGAGCTGAGTGCCTGTGTGCAGGAGGCTTCCTGGAGGAGTGGGGTGCCTCTGGACACTTGTTGGTGGAACTACTGAGCTTTGGAACACTTGCCCCAGCAGGGCAGATGTGAGGCCCGAAGGCCAAGAGTCCACAGGAAGCAAAAGCTGACGAGACAAGAAACACAAGAAGCCGAGCTACCTCAGTCTCACAAGGTATGACCACAACTTCAGGGGTTTCAAAGGGTGGAGCCATGGCCTCTGGTGTTTCTAAGGGTGGAGTTGTCACTCCACTGGACTAGGAGAATGGTGCGCCTGAAGCTGAGGAAGCAGAGGTGCCGTCCCAGTGGGCCTGGATTGCAGAGCTGAAGCCCAGGGCCGAGGGGCCTCCACTCAGAATACAGAGACTGTGGCCAATACCTAGAGTCTGGAGGGCAGGGCTATTGTGTAAATTGTCTCAGAGAACAGAAGATTATTTTCAAAGCCTTGAGGGCTGATGTAATGTGTTCTGCTGACTTGCTTGGTGCCTGTTATCCCTTCTTCTCTGCCAGTTTCTCCCATTTGTAATGGAAATGTCTAGCTTGTGCCTGTTCTGCCATTGTGCCTTTGGAAGCAAACAACTTGTAGTCTAGATTTCACAGATGAAGAGGAATTTTTGGATTTTGCACTTGGAGTTAAGACTTTTGCTGTGATATGATGAGATGAATATGTTTTGCACGTTACAAAGACATGAATTTTTGGAGGCCAAAAGGTGGGGTGTCATGGATTGAGTTGTGTCCTCCAAAAATATCTGTCAACTTGACTGGGTCATGAGTCCCAGTATTGTATAATTGTGTACCATTTTGTAATCTGATGTGATTTCCTTATGTGTTGTAAATTCAGTCACTATGATCTAATAAGATGGATTAGCAGCAGTTATACTGATGCGGTATACAAGATTGGATAGTGTCTTAAGCCAATCTCTTTTGAGATACAAAAGAGAGAAGTGAGCAGAGATACACAGGACCTCATACCACCAAGAAAGCAGTGCCAGGAGCAGGGTGCATCATTTGGACCCGAGGTTCCACACAGAGAAGCTCCTAGTCTGGGGTAAGATTGATGAGAAGGCCAACAGAGACAGAAAGCCTTCCCCTGGAGCTGCCACCCTGAATTTGGACTTTTAGCCTACTTTACTGTGAGGAAATAAACTTCTCTGTTAAAGCCACCCACTTGCGGTATTTCTGTTAAAGCAGCACTAGATGACTATGACAATTGTGTTTTAGGTGAAAGTTTACACAGCAAATTAGGTTCCCATTTAACAATGTTTATACAAATTGCTCCATAACATTGGTTACAATTTTCACAATGTGTCTTCATTCTCATTATTTCCATTCTGTTTGTTCTGTTTCCATAGATCTAGCTTCTCTTCCCCTCTTTGCCTTCTCGGTCTTTGCTTTTGGGTAAATGTTGACTGTTTAGTCTCATATAGTTGATAGTTTAACGGAGCTCATTACTCACGGGTGATCAAATGTGATCTCCGGGAGTGGCTACAGTTCCAAGTTCAAAGGGTATCTTAGGGCAATAATCTTGGGGGGCTCCTCTAGTCTCTCTTGATCCAGTAAGTCTGGCCTTTTTTAGGAATCTGAATTTTGTTTTACATTTTTCTCCCGTTCTATCAGGGACCTAACTGTGTTGCTTTTCTGCCCTCTCTTGATTGAAATATGGAGAGCAAATCCATTAAAACACAAATGGTTCCTTACGTTTGTGGTGGATGAAGGACCCTATTGTTGTTATCGTTGTTGTTAGGTTCTGTCAAATCAGTTAGTTGCCTTCAAATAGATTCTGACTCAAGGCGACCACAAGTGTGCAGAGTAGAACTACTCCATAGGGTTTTCAAGGCTGTGACCTTTTGGAAGCACATCACCAGGCCTGACTTCAGAGGTACCTCAGGGTGGGTTCCAACCATCAACCTTTCAGCTAGTAGTCCAGTGCTTAATCATTTGCACCACCCAGGGACTCCTTTGCTGTGTAAGGTAACATATTTACAGGTCTCCGAGATTAGGACGGGGACATCTTTGGGGAAACATTATTCTGCCTACCATACTTGCCTAACTTGGAAACACTTGACCACTGGAAGGACCTTTATTTACGACGTGGGGCTTCTGCTCCTTCTTCAAAACGCTCACCTGCCACTGTGTTGTTGTTACATGCCACTGAGTTGGTTCAGACTCATAGCAACTCTATGTATAACAGAATGAAACACTGCCTGGTCCTGTGCTATCCTCACAATCCTTGTTAT